TAATCCATCCTCCACATATGTACCAAAATAATCTTTCTGGAGCACAGGGTTGACCATGTTACTCCCTTCCTCAAGAATCTTAAGTGGTTCTTTATTATTTCTATGATGTAACTCAAGCTCCTCAGCTTGGCATTTAAAACCCAGTGTAATCTAGGTCCAGTATGCCTTTCCAGACTTACTTCCCAGTCGCATACTCTATCTTAGGGCCAAACTATCCTACTTACAATTCTGGGGATGTCTCCTCTACATATCTCTGCAAAAGCTGCGCCTTATTTCAGAAATGTGCTCTTTCCTCTCTACCCCTTAGTATTATTAACTTTGACTTCTTTAGCTTGGTTTGGAAATAAGTGACACAAGGCTGGAAATTATGGTAGATTTTTTTAACTAGATAATTTCATTTTTATTAGAAATTAAATCTTATGTCATAATTGACCCATTGTCTTTATTTTCTTTAACTAGGTATTGAGTGATGGTCGGCTGGAGAGCAGTGGTGTTCCATTGCCCGTTTTAGTGATGGCGTTATGTGGGAGAGTATATGAGAAGGACCCACCTCCCTTGACCAGGACAGGGTGATCACCCTTGACACATACTTTACAAGAGGTAGTGTAGAAAGAATAAAGAGCTAGGAAATGGCTTGGCTTCTAATTGCTATTGGTTTCTAATTAGCTACCAACTATAGGAACTTGGACAAGTCACACACATACAAACACACACATATGCATACATATATTGCTTGGGTCCATTTGGATATGGATTTCTTGTTGTTTATGTGGCAAGAACATTTCATTTTTCAAGACAATTGAGATAAAATATATATTGATTAAACACTCGATAGAATGCTTTTTGATTTATAACTTATTAGACTTATGTATCTGGGAATTCTAGAGTTAAACATATTAAATTAAAATTGAGATTGTATCATGAGTAGTAATGAGTTCAAATCCCAATGCAGATACTTAACTAGCTGTGGGACTTTGGGCATATCATTTTAATTCTCTTACCCTAAGTCTCTTCATCTGTAAAATGGAGTATGTAATAATAACTCTTAATCAGTCCATAAACATTTATTAAGCACCTACTACGTGCTAGGTACAAGGTTGTTGTGAGTATCAAATGAGATAACATATGCATACTGCTTTGAAAATCTTAGCTCACTTTATAAATGCTATTATGGCCAATTTTGATTTTTTCCAGGCCCACAGAAGGTAGAATTTAGGAGAGATGTCCTACTAACTGTCTTTTTTTTAGGAAGAACCTGACAAAGCAATCATCCTTTTATCAAGTTGTCTTCTTCTGTGTTTGTGTCTTGAGCTTGCCTGTAACCATAGTAGTTCTTTACGGTTGAATTTTTTTTTTGTTCATTTGCTCATTCTTCCAGCCTCCTTCTTGACTTTGGACTTCACATTAATGACAGGTTTTGCACACTTCTGGGGGGGAAGGGGAGATATCTAACTCAAGCTTCTTTCCTTTTACATACTTCTGCTGCTTTTACAACTGGAGGGTTGCAAGTTTTTAGTACTCCAAAATTGGTATAATCCAAGGAAAGGTCTGTTCACCTCCCTCCTGGTCAGAGTTCTGCAAGTTCCTGACCCAGTTTTCATTTGTTGGCTTGTTCATGGTTGAGTTTAAGTAAACATCTATTGGAGACAGTAACTTTTAGCCTACTGGGAGGCTCTTGTAGGTTTGGAGTGACTGAACCTTGTTCCCTTTCAGTCTGAGGGTCCTGCCCTGGTAATACCATTGTAAGCTTAGATGTTGGAGTAAATGCCAGAACTGAGTCTTTCTTCCTATGACCCTGAGCTCAAAGCCACTATCTGCATTTTTTGAACTTGTTTCTTGATCAATATCCAAGTAGGATGGGCCCACATAATCCAGAACTGGGCAATGGGCACAGAGCTGACAGAGGGCATCTATTCTGGCGCCCTACATTAGTTCAAGGATCCCTAGGATCTTTCATGATTTCTGCCCTGGCATTGTATCTCAACTCTCTTTCCTAAAGGGCTGTAATGCTCCTCATATCTGCTACCTGCTCTCCCATTCCTGACCAAGTCCCTCATCCCCAGTATCTGAAGATCTTTGTGTCTGTCTGCCTAAGCTTCCCTTGGATGGGAAAAAAATGCAGATTGGAAGAAGCCCAATAAGAATTCCTAGAAGAGTTAAAAAGTGAGGTAAAAAGTTACTTAAAAAACTAAATGAGAGATATGGAAGAAAAACATGAAAAAAAATTAAAAGGTTGGTTTAAAAAAAGGCGTAAAACTTCATTGAAGGAAACTTACTGAAGAAAAGAACCTAGATATAATGTTTCATGAAATTATGAAAGAAAGATGCCTGGATATCTTAGGACCAAAGGGCAAAGCAGAAATGGAAAGAATCCACCAATCATCTCCTGAAAGAAACCCCCAAATGAAAACTCCCAGGAATATTATAGCTAAAATTGAGAGCACCTAAGTTAAGGAAAATATTGCAAGTAGCCAGAATGAATTCAAGCAGCACAGAGCCATGGGCAGGATCACATAAAACTTATCAGCAAAACTAAAGAATGGAGAGCTTAGAATATGATAATCTAGAAGGTAAAGAATCTGGGCTTATAACCAAGAATTACCTCCCTGAAGAACACAGTATAATCCTATAGGATAATTAAACATACCTTTAATAAAATTGAAGACTTTCAAGCATTCTGATGAAAAGAGCAGATCTAAGTAGAAAAGTTGATGTATAAACCCAGAAGGAAAAGGTAAAAAAAAAGTAAACATAAGTGGGAAATCATAAGCAGCTAAAGAAGGTTAAACTGTTTACCTTCTAATATGGAGAGATGATGCATATAACCTCCTAGAACTTTATTATCACAAGATAGAGGACCTAGGTACAATTCTATTATATTTGAATGATTTCAAAAGAAGAATGAAAAGGTGTGGAAGAGGAATGTACTGAGAGAGGGGGGAAGGGAAAGGAATGAATACAAATACAAAATGCATACAACATATTTTGGAGAAGAAATAGCATGGAAGAAGAGATAACATAGGGTAGTAGATTGAGACCTAGTCTTAGAATTAGGAAGAATCACAGGGTTGTTGTCAGAGTTGAGTCCAGCCTCTGACCTATATAGACTAGGCAAATCACTTAACATCTTAGTGTTCTGAGTAACTTTCTAAGGCTAATTAAGTTATAGAGGGGGTGCTGCTCTGCATGAGTAGAAGATGTCCTTCATGGGGAGTTCCTTATACCGTTGAAACCACAAGTTAGTCAAAATCCAAAATTTTTTGGGAAAAGGCACAAGTCAAATACGAAATGCAATTTATCAACAATAAAACAAGGGGACACAATGAAAAGGTAGGGAATTGTGAGATAGAGACAATGGGAGATAGGACCGACAAGAATAGATATGAGAGAGAAAGGAGTGGTGGTCAGGGAAGGGAACTTTGGCCTAGGCGATGTACAATGAAGAGTCAAAAGGATTCTGAGTGGAACCTACAAGTGAAATGTCAAGCTCTTTTCAGTAGTATAGGTAATATTGATTATTAATCCTTGAGAAAGAGATGGAAAGGGTAGAGATGTTGAATGTATGAGAGACAGAGCAGATTTCCAATCTCTTGTACTGGACCAAGCAGAACAATCCAGCTTGAGGGAATCTGATGGCAGCTAGTTGGTACTGTGAGTAGGCTGTTAGGCTTGGGAGTTGGGAAGACCTGAGTTCAAATTTTGATTCAGACAGAACTTTCTAGTTACGTGACCCTTAGGAAGTCACTTAATCTGACTCAGTTTTCTTATCTGTGAAATGGAGATAATAATAACACTTCCCTCACAGGGTTGAAATGTTTGTAAAGCACTTTGCAAACTTTAAAACATTGTCCATCATTAATCTGTGTCTTCTACATGGCAGTTTTTCACATAGCCATCATACATGGGTGACCTACATACAGCAATGGTAAGAAATGGTCCCCTCAGTGTAGCTGGTCATCAGCCAGCTGCACTCAGTGTATTATATACAACAAGTTGAGATCACCCAAAAAGAATAAACTCATCTTTCAACTAGACACTCAGGAAAAACAGAGAAAAAAACATGCCTACTCTCTGTTTTTAGGGTTTAGAGACCTTTTTCTTCTGGTGGTGCCTTTAGATGTTCCATTTTTTCCCTTCCTTTTTTTCCGGCTCAAAATCTAAGATCTTTTATTCCACAGTTCTCACTTTAATTCTTTTTAAATTTTTTGTTGTTCAGTCATTTCAGTCACGTCTGACTCTTCATGACCTCATTTGGGGTTTTCTTGGCAAAGATATTGGAGTGATTTGCCATTTCCTTCTCCAGCTTATTTTTATACATGAGGAAACTAAGGCAAACAGGGTTAAATGATTTGCCCAGGGTCACACAGCTAGTAAGTGTCTGAGGCCAGATTGGAACTCTTGCAGATGATTTTCCCTGACTTCGGGTCCAGCACTCTATCCACCATTTTAAAAAATTAAGAGAAAATTATTTTCTCACCTTCCCACCCTCCACTACATTGGAATTTTTTAAAAAAGAAAAGAGAAGAAATCCTTGTAGCAAATATATAGTCAAACACAACAAATTCCCTTCTTCAAAAATGTCTCATTCCCAACCCTGATCTTTTAAGTACTCAGAGGATTGAGAGGTCAACACAGAAGGTGAGAATAGCTCCCTAAATCTGGTCCCAAGTAAAGCTTAGGTGGTGCAGAAGACAGGGTATTAGACTCACATCAGGAAGACCTGAGTTCAACTCCTGCTTCAGACCTTTACTACCCAACTTTGGGTAGTAAAAAACAAAACAAAACAAAAACCCTTCATCCTTCTGGGCTTTTGTTGGACTAGATAGCCTCTAAGGTCCCTTCAAGATATAAACCTATGATTCCATGTTCTTCATTTGGAAGCTGGGAATGCTACCCCTGAGCACCTCCTTCACAGGGTTGTGGGAAAGGACATCTCAAACCTTAAAATGCTACCTGAGTGGGAATCTCACTGTTGACACTTTAACTGGAGCTTGCCCTACCTTTGCCCTGTTGCTCCCAGAGACTCGAATGTACTGGTCTCTTACTCCCAAAGACTCAAATATGTGCGAAGGGGTCGGGGCAGATAGAGGAGTGTCAAGGGCTACATTCTGATTGGCTGGATCCAGGTCCTTGACAAGCAGTCAAGGAACTGACCGCCATAGAGCTGGGAGGAACTGGGGGATAGAAAGTCTCCTGAAGACCATAGAGATTCCACGCGGACAGGAGCGCCCACCTCCAACGGGCGCTGGGACCGCCTGCCTCGTGCCTAGATCGCTGCCCCTCCCAGCGGTCAAGCTCAGTTTGTTGCTAGGCAGCCAAAGTTTCTTCAGGATAACGCCCTGGTAAGTTAAAGTAGTATTTCAGAAGATATAAGGGTAACAGCTCTCTCTGGCGTCCCTGCCTTCTTCTTCTTCTCTCGTGTGTCTCAAATCTCCTTACTTTTCTTCTGAATCTGCGCTTCCTCTCTTCTCTCACCTCCTCAGAACCCTTCAGTTTGATACCTTTGCCCCTATCCCCTCCCCCACCCCCACCCTTCTTCTCATCTTCCATCCCACATTTTCACTCTCACCCCCATTTCCAATTCCCCACCCCCACCTCCTCAACCTCTTTAAGTTGCCTGAATTTCATTATTTTATGACCAAGACCAAGTCATCCATCTATTAAGAATCATTTATTTCCTATCCCCCCTACCACTGGGGGGGGGGAGGAAAAACAAAACAAAACCAATTTAACAAATATTCGTCATCAAGCAAAACATATTATTATATTGGACCCGTCCAAAAAGTCTGTTTTAAATTCTGCATCTTGAATCCATCTCTGTCAAGAGATGAGGCATCATCAGTCCTTTAGAGTCTGGTTGATCATTGTATTGATCATTTATTAAGTCTTTAAAAGTTGTTTGTCTTTACATTGTTGTCATATAAATTGTTCTGGTTCTGCTCATTTCACTCTTCATCAGTTCATCAAGTTTCAGATTTCTCTCAAATCATCCATTTTCTCATTGCTCATGGCAAATTACATTCATATAATGTAATCTGTTCAGTCATTTTTCTAATTGGTGGAAACTTCCTTAGTTTCTAGTTATTTGCTACTACTACCAAAAAAAAAAGCTCCTATAATTATTTTTGTACATGGAGACCTTGGTATATGCTTGTTGACAGAATTTTTGACTGAATGACCTCCCAAGTCTAGTTCAAACTTATATGCCTTTATGATACCATTAATCCCTTTATTGTTATCAAAATGCCAGTTTTCACTATCACCTTGAAATAGGAGTGAACATCATATGAGCAACAAAAATAACAGACGGAAAGCATTAGAATTAGAGATGTTGGGAAAGGCTTCCTATAGAAGGTAGGATTTTAATTGGGACTTAAAGGAAGTCAGAGTGATCAGTAGATGGAGATGAGGAGGGAGAGTGTTCCAGGCCTGGAGGATTGCCAGAGAAAAATGCTGAAAACCAAGAGATGGAGTGCATTATTCCTAGAATAGCCGGGAGGCCAGTTTCACCAGATCAAAGAGTACTTGGTGGGGAGTAAGGTGTAAGAAAATTGGAAGGTAAAAGGGGCTAGGTTATTAAGGACTTTAACAGCAGAGGATTTTGTATTTGATCAGGGAGGAAGCCACAGAAATTTACTAGGGGGAGGGGTAGTGGTCAGGTGATGGTGGTACAGGGAGGGATGATGTGGTTGGCCCTGAGATTAAGAAAATCACTCAATGAAAAATGCATCAGACTGGGGAGGGAGTTGAGGCAAGCCAACCCACCATCAGTTGCAATAGCTCAGACATGAGATAATGAGGACCTGCACAGCAGAGTGGTAGCAGTGTCACAGGAGAGGAGGGGGTATATTCCAGAGATGTAAAGTTGAAATTGGCAGGCCTTGGTAACAGTTTGGTTATGGAGGGTGAGAGAGAGTGAGGAATTCAGGATGACTTATACGTTATGAGCCTGGGGGACTGGGAGGATAGTGTTGCCCTTTACAGTAAATAAGGAGGTTTGGAGGGGAAGAGGGTTTACAGGGAAAAGATAATGAGTTAAGTTTTGTACATGTTGAGTTTAAGATATCTACTGGACATCCAGTTTGAGATGTTTAAAAAGCAGTTGGAAATACTAAATTGGAAATCAACAGGGAGGTCAGGGCAGGATAGGTAGGTTTGAGAATCATCAACAGAGAGATTATAATTAAATCCATGGGAGCTAATGAAATCACCAAGTGAAGTAGTATAAAGGAAACAGAGAAGAGGGCCCACTACAGGACCCTGTGGGACACCAACAGCAAGAGTGTGTGGTCTGGATAAGGATTCTTACAAAGGAGATTGAGATGGAGTGATCTGATTGGTAGGGAGGAGAACCAGGAGAGAGCTGTCCCAAAAACAGAGAGGAGAAAGTATCAAGGCAGAAGGTGTTCAACAATGTCAAAGGATAAAGAGGGGTCAAAGAGAATGAGGCTTGAGAAAAACCACTGGATTTGGCAACTAAAAAATCACTGGTAACTTTGGAGAGCTGTTTCAGTGGAATTATAAAGTTAGAAGCTGGATTGAAAGGAGTGAAGAAAGAGGAAAGAAAGAAGAGGCACTTGTTGTACATGACCTTCCCAAAGAGTTTAGGTACAAAGGGCAGAAGGAACATAGGACAATAGTTAGCTTATGTAAAACACAATTCAAAAGGTGATAATGGTAGAAGGCATCTGAATGATAGGAAATGAGGAAGAGAAGAGAAGAAGGAGCTCATGGTGAATGGCCTCAATTTTTTCTGTATACAAGCAGGGCAATGTTCTCAACTGAGAGAACAGGGGGAAGGGAAGAGGAAGCTATGGGAGGTGTGAGCAGGCATGAAAAGATTTGGAAGAGCCATTGTGGAGAATGGGATAGTGAGTTGATAAGGCAAGTGTAGGATTGCCTAGCAGGAATGAGAGCTCAGCTGAGGTGCTTTTCTTCATTTTTGCTCTGCAGCATAAGAACAAAGGTGACAAATGGTGAGAGTGATCTAAGGCTGAGGCTTGGCCAAGAAAAACGGGCAAAATGTTAGTGGATCTAGGAATATAAAAGAGAATGGCAGTGTAGAGTTGAATTGATTCACTAATGGGTCAAGATGAGGAAAAGAGAAGTGTAGAAAGAAAAATGATAGTACAAAGGAGATGGTTTGGGAGAAAATTGAAAGGTGGAGGGGGGGATTGGAGATCACATAGAGGTGAAAAATAAATTTTACTAACAGGAGACAGAGGCAGAGGCAAAAAGCCAATAGATTACGGTCAGATAAGGAACTTTTTGAAATCTTGAATGTGGAGGTAGTACATTTGTGTATTCTGGCAAGATCAAGATTAGTGTGTGGTAGACAAAGCAGTACATCATGGGAAGTGAATAGATTGAGGAATTTAGTGGCTAATGTGTTTGAGGGGGTTTTATAAAGAGTTTGTAGTCTAATGAGTGAGAATCGGGAAGCCAGGGACACAGGTATGGGGTAGAATTAGAGAATCCATTCTAGGCAAAGGCGCATTAAGGACAGCATCTGAATGTGGGATGGAGACTAGTAGAGTACATGAAAGGTGCACTATTTTGATAAGTACAAACAATAAGTTGGAACTGAATTGTGGAGGTTCTTCAATAATAAAATGATTAATTTATCCCAAATTCTACATTTCTGTGAAACTTAACTAGCAAAAAAAATTTAGCAAAAATTCATATGTGTCCATCTATTTTAGCATCTCCATTTTCTGTAGAGTTGTTCTCTTTCTGACCAATATCTAATTTTCCATTGGGTAATATTTTTTCTTTCTTTTCAAGTGTCTTTTTGGGTTTTATGTTCTGACCTCAGGGGTTCAGCTAAGCCTGCTAGAATATTAAGTGGTTCGGAGGATGGAGCTGGTGGAGTAAAAGCAAAGACTTGCTTGAGTTCTACCCCAAACCCTTTGAAATACTTGTAATAAAAGGCTCTAAACAAATTTTAGAGCAGCACAGACAGAGTGAAACTCTTTTCCAGCCCAAGACAACCTGGATGGTTGATGGGAAGGGTCTGTTGCACAAGGCTGGGAGAGGAGCACAGTTCAGCATGGGCTATGCAGGCAAAAACAGGCCTCAGCTAACCCAGAGCAGGCCTCAGGGGACTGAATCATTAGCAGCTGCAGTGGTTTCCAGACTTCTCAAACCACAAATACCGAAGACAACTTAGAAGGTCAGTAGAAATGGTCTGTTGGACCACGGTAAGAGAGGAGTGCCATCTGGCCCTGGTCCTGGCACAAGCCCTGGGTGGTGGCTGCTTCTGGAGCTCTCGGCACATAGATGGTAGGGGGATCAAGCTGCTGATCAGAGGGGAATTGCAAGGATCTCTATGCTGGTGCTAAGGCCTGCCTGAAGATTCTCTTGCTTTGCCTCTGCTTGAATCTGGGTTGCAGTCTTGGGTGGCGGTCCTGGAGCAAGGAGGAGTGCTGGCATGGTGGAGCTTGTGGTGGTAGTGAAGAGAGAATCCTCTTCATAGTTCCAAGGCAGAAAAGAGTGCTTGTGGTCACTCACAGGCCAGAGCACAGGCTAGGAAAGGAGTAAACACCTCGCCTTTGATCATAACCACTTTGGAAGAACTGAAGATTTACAGGTATCTCTGAAAACAGCTGCACAAAACCCCTAAAGCTTGGGACAGTACACCCTCCACACTGGAAACAAAGCCCTACCTTAACAAAGAGTTTAAAAGTCAAGTAATTGGCTGGAAACACAAGCAAACAGTTCAAAAAAAAAAGTCAGACCATAGAATCTTACTTTGGTGACAAAGACGATCAAAACATACACTCAGAAAAAGACAACAAAGTCAAAGTTCCTACATCCAAAGCTTCCAAGAAAAATAGGAATCAGTCCCAGGCCATGGAAGAGCTCAAAAAAGATTTTGAGAAGCAAGTTAGAGAAGTACAGGAAAAACTGGGAAGAGAAATGAGAGTGATGCAAGAAAATCATGAAAAACAAGTCAACAGCTTGCTAAAGGAGACCTAAAAAATACTGAAGAAAATAACATTTTAAAAAATAGACTAACCCAAATGGCAAAAGAGGTCCAAAACGCCTTAAAAAGCAGAATCAACCAGATGGAAAAGGAGGTGCAAAAACTCACTGAGGAAAATAATTCCTTAAAAATTAGAATGGAGCAAATGGAAGCTGATGACTCTATGAGAAATCAAGAAATTATAAAACAAAACCAAAAGAATGAAAAAATAGAAGACAATGTGAAATATCTCATTGGAAAAACAACTGACCTGGAAAATAGATACAGGAGAGATAACTTAAAAATTATTGGACTACCTGGAAGCCATGATCAAAAAAGAGCCCAGACATCATCTTTCAAGAAATTATGAAGGAAAAC